TTGCGTTGTTGGTTCGTTGGTGTTAATTCTCAGTTGGATATTGGGTATTAGGTTTTCTGCGTCTTCTGGGGGTGTTGGGACTACACTTAGAGATTCGCTAAAATATTCATGCCACGGTACGCGTTTAGTGGTTAGTAAATTGTTGAACAATGTAATTTACGCTACGATAATGATGGGAAAATTCAAAGGTGAGGAAGTTCTCATTCCGAGGATCCCGATGATCCCAACCGATAAGCCGTTTGAATTTAAAAGACTTCAATTTCTGATACGTCTTGCATTTGCCATGACCATCAACAAATCACAAGGCCAATCCTTAAAAGTTTGTGGTTTAAATCTAGAACATTCATGTTTTCCCATGGTCAATTATACGTGGCATGTTCACGGGTCGGAAAACCATCTGCGTTGTTTGTTTTTGCGCCTGATAATAAAACAAAAAATGTCGTGTATCACAAGATACTTAAGTGAAGAGTAACCTATGTACTAAAATACAGAAATAATAATGAATGATTAATGTAGTTATTTAATTTTCTTTTTGTATTGTTTCCAAAAAAAAAACACAATCTGCTTATTTATTGCCATTAAGGCGGAACAAAGTTCGCCGGGTCAGCTAGTATTATTATATCCGACACTGGTACGAAATTGGTCACATATTTACTCAGTTCGAATGTTACTTATTTACCTACACCGTTTTTGTGATGTGGGTCTTTTGTGCTATTATCGGAATAATATAATATACTTCCGTCTTTTTTACATGATCCTGACTCTGGCCATCTCATTTCGCTGATTCGTAGTAGGTCTATTTTCATTCTTTTCATTTCTTGAATTGCGTTGTTAAGTTTCCCAGCCGCAAATACACTTCTAACATTCCATGTGCACATTCTAAAATTAGATTTCTTTATTTTTAGTATTTCTTCATGAGATTTACAAATATTTACGACCTGAGAGGCCTCATGGTATGAATATGTTTCTCCTCTCCTGTCGAATCTTGGCCTCCGCTTTCCATGATTAGTAACGGTTTTCAATTGCAGTATCAATTCTATGGTGATTTTCCTGGGGGTGCTCTATAAGCCGTTAATGCAGTGCTTCCCCTCCGCCTTCTCCATTCTTATGCCGTTGACCATTATTTGTTGGTTCATTTGCCTTCGGGGCCGATTTCTCAACCCCAGGACAAAAGAATGCCCTAACACTAATCAACTCATCCGCCCTAAGTCGTTGGTCAGTAAGTGGGGAATTGCTTATAAAGGTAATGACTCAGACGTCAGAGCCTCATTTGTTATCTAACTGGATGCACCGGATGACCATAATCAAGATCTTCACGCAAGCATATTAGATTGACATTTGGATTGGAGAGGCTATACGTTGTGCATCACTATCCCTTGCATCCCTCCGTACCGGCACCTCCCGAGAAATAATCCTAACTCCCGTAAAGACTTTTCTTTCTGTTTTTAATGGAGAGCTGTTACCGCAGCTCGGCTGCCGAGTGAGGAATAATTTCAAGCTCACTTCGGACTTTTAATTACTCCTGGCTGTCAGTGGACTAGTGGAATGCTGTATCAGTTCGACACAATCTGAAATAGCTTTAAGACAATCTGTCTTTCCCTATTTTAAAGGTAGTCTCCATCTGGGGAACGTTCTCTCCAAGCTGTTAGCCGGCTTCTGGAAGGTAATTATAAGTCTGTTGCCAGACTTTTCTCTAACTTGACAAAAGGTAGGCCGTCAGTCAAAAATCATTGGTTCTTGTATTTCTTGTAATGTGAATGACGTTGTAGCTATATGGCTTCGTATTCATTCAAGCACTAAAGAGCTTTGGAATCGTCTTCGCTTCGACGTATTCTTAGATCGAAGAAATGTTCACTCAGGTATTATTAAAAGGGAGAATCGTAATATAGGCACTCAGTCAACAAGGTCTAGCAGAAGCTAGTAGTATAAGACCACTAGATCCCGATCAGAAGATGTTCTGCCTTTTATTAATGCAGTTATTAAAACTTTTTGTGATTGGCCGGCCAGAGTAATAATCTGCGTCGTAATTAGTCACTTCTTGCGACAACGATTTAAGGTTTCAGGAGTTCAGTCGAAAAAGAATAAATGTATCAAGTTTTGAATTATTGTAACGTGAAAATAAATGTAAATAAACTATGTAAATTAGAATGGTGTTAGTGAAAAATAAATTAGTGTTAAATTGCATATAAATTAAATAAATAAAGACCAGTGTTAGAACATTTTAATAATAAATAATTGATAAATTGTAAATGAAAGTTATTAAAAATATGACCTTTAAGATTATTTGAGGAGCAGACTGTCATATCGCACTTTGTCCATTTTTAAAATTTTTCAGGAAACGAGAAAAACTGCTACTCGATTATTAATAAAGTTAAAAATAAAACACAAAACATGAAAAAATGTAATTTTTTATTATCAACTTACCCTATTTATAAGAAACAACAAACTTTATTAGTTTTTTCAAAAAAAAAATTTTAATGATGGACAAAACGCCATTTGATTGTCTTTGAAGGACAAAATGTGGTTTTATTTTCCCTAAGTGATTAAAATCAAAATATGAACTGAAAATTCGTGTTTCTAAAGCAATATCTGTAGTAAAAGAAATCCTATGACATGTATGTCGTCCTCCAGAAGACAGCAGCATTCTTCTCCATCTTCACATTGATCGCAGGTCTGGTCCTTTTCAATTACATTTTCACCATACTGATCCTTCAAAATTGGATCTAACCAAGTTAATTCTGGATCTAATGCCCATTCTTTGCCTGATAGACTAACTAAAAATTTTGATAAGTTATCCAGTTTTTTCTTCTTAACAGCATGCTTCGTTGGCAATTCCGGCAATACTATGTCACTTAGTTTTTTCTTTGGTTGAATTAAATTTGAAAACTTTTTAGAATTGTTATCAATTCTGTATAAAACCTCTGTTTTATACAAGATTTTACTTTCCCCAGCAGTTTGTTTGCTTCGAGTTATGATTATTCTTTTGGCTAAACTGATACCTATAACTTTTTTGAGTGAAAGTGCTGCATGTTTTATGTCATACAAAGTAAAATCAGATCCCAGCTTGCGTACTTGTTCTTTCTTAGAATAGATTTCACAATATTTTTTGGTGACTTTATAAAAGCATGGGCACGTAAGTCTAGCTCAACTTGACCAAAAACTCGATCAGCTGGCATAAACGAATAGCCACGAACGGGAAATGTCATCGTAAGTGTTTGAATAGTTTTTGGGGCATTATTCAAAAGCCACAAGGTAAGTGCATGTACCATGTGGGAATTTTTATTTTGACCCCCACATCCGTCTGAAAACAATCTTAAATGTTTAATATCTGGGTCAAAATCAGTCTTCTTTAGAAGGTCAGTCAACGCAGAACTTATTTCTACCACACTTCTTCCTGCTTCATGCTCAAGCGATGTATAAAAAACAGGAGTTTTTGTTAAAATATCTGTCACACAAAATGCATAAAAAGCCAGTTGCTGAGAATAGAATGCTTCCGTAATAGACGCCTTTGAAAGATTTTGGACCTGTTGAAGATCAAAGCAATATGTCACGCTATCAGCAGATTCCTCTTTCATTGATTTAAAAAAACTGCTTTGCTCGCGTCTTATGAATAGTTAAATCTTTGCTCTTCATCCTTGGTGGTATTTATCTCAGTGTTTGTTCTTATGCAAAAGCCACAAACATCAGAAGTTGGACTTCCAAAGGCTAAAACAAACGGGCAACTTAGTAAAAAATAAAAAACATTTTTTTAATAATATCTACCTATATTAAACTTATTGCTGAAAATTCGACTAAAGTACTTGTAGTTTGTTTGGAGTAAATTATCTGGAATCTGATCATTATACATCTCCCACAGCTTTTTTATGTTTAACTCAGATGACAAATAGATTCTTCTTGACTTGTCTCTACCATAGTGGCTTTCATGGCCCTTCAAAGACGAAATAAATTTCATGACACTTTCTAATTTAAGCGCATTTTTCTTGGACTTTCTGTCTCCACCACGATTGTCTTTTATACTAGTGCCAAGCATATTTTTTCTCACTATTGTATGAATTCTTCTTGGACCACAATTAAAAATAGAGAAAAATAATTTTTGGCAAACAAAGATTTTCTTGCTATTATGCCAAACCTAAAAAATACTCAATCAGAGACCTTACAAAGTGTAATCGAAAAATAAATATGTACTGATGCTAAAGCTTGGTTTATTTAAATAAAAACTTACATAAAATTCTGTGTGAAAATCATGTGATTTACCATTCTTTCTCTTCCTTTGCCTTTTTATTTCCTTAATATTCATCATCTGTGCTAATTTGTTATCCTGAGCATTTTTGTTCTTTTCTTCATTATCATAGAAATTTTGTCTAATTATTTTTATGTCGGCCAACAAAAGATCTGTACATGCAAATTTTTTTGATTTGTGAATACAATTATTTTTAAAATTCAATAACTCTGGATCTAAATCTGAATATCTAAAAGAAAACAAATTAAACCACAAAAACACAAAATAACCTGTAGTTTACCTTATTTCTCTCTTACGTTCTTTTGCCGTAGTATTTATTTTTCTTTTTCTCGTTCCTCTATTTGTATCACCTACAATATGCTCACCTTCACTCATTTTAATACTATTATCACCTATTATTATTATAAAAAGAACCTATTAAGCACGAATAATATCAGATACTGTTGATTCCTAATCAACGTCTCAGAGCAAAATAAAGTCGTTAAATAGTAAAAAAGCTATGCAAGCAAAATAGCGCTATTTGTTTGTCTCTCGCTACTGGACAAAATGCGTTTTGTTTGTCTAAGTGATTTTTCAAGCCAAAAATATATGTGAAATATTACGTTTAGAATATCTAGGAGTATGTAAATTAATAAATGATGTTTTGACTAATCCAACGCCACCTCTAAGTCAAAAAGTGAAAATATGGACAAAGTGCGATTTGAAAGTCTGCTCCTCATTTATTTAACTATAGCCAATAAATTATCATTTCTACACTTACCAGGATAATTTCCGTCGTGTTTCCTTTCTAAATCATTTAGTATATCAACCATATTTAAGGGTTTACCAGTATATTCCTTTCTAGAGTCCATTGCCTTTAAAAAGGTTTGTTCAAAATGTAACATAAGTGAAGGGTCTAAAAAATTTAATTTTAAAAATTTGACCAAACCTTGTCTTAAGAAGTAGCAAGTCTGTATAATTCCGTTTCTCAGATTAAACTCAAATATTTTTTCCACGCACTCTCTGAACTTTGATACGCTAGGTTCAAAGCAACGTGGATCAGAAGCAAACAAACAACGGGCAATCATTTCAGTGCTGTAATGACCCGCAACATATTTGGCATCTACTGGACCAGAAATATTTTCTAAATATTCAACAAACTTCTGATTGATTAATTTTAAATCTTCAAAAAATGTTTTTGTCATTGATGATGTAAACAATGGTGTTAACTTTCCCCTCGTATACCTCCATTTTGAGATTTTTTGCCAAAATATGAAGTTGGATAAGTTGTGATGATGACTGGGATCTGCAAGACTTCTATTGCAGAACGTGTTAAAATCTTTTATTAATATATCTTTAATTAATTTCGGTGATTTGATAACCAAGATCGGTTTATCAAAAGCAAATACTCCAAAGTAGGGTTCGTCAGTTTCATCGTAAAGGTCTTTTATCAACTCAGACAAGGTAGTAGTAAATGTGGCAATTCCATAAAAATGTCCAAAAAATGGAGTTGGTTTCGTAGTATGCACGCCACGTTTTTTCCAATAGTCAAAATTTCTTGTAAAATATTTGTATCCAAGGAATATTATCGTAATACACAGTATTAAAAAAGTAACCATGGTGAAGTCGAGTAGGACATCTATCTGTAACAGAAAGATATATAACAACAAAGTTTATTAGGGCTGCAGTCAGAAGTTTGGCCGGGATGTTACAGAAACACTCTTTTGACTTTTGGTCTAGCTTTCGGAATTGTTTAATTCCTTTTTCAAGACACTGTAATTAGGAAAATGTGTAAATATTTACAATATATCACAAAATGTCAGTGTACTTACTAGTCGTTGAGATTATTTGTATAAAGTTATGACACTCAACATTAATAACAAACATATAAAATATAACTTATAAAGTAATGAACAAAATATATTTTAAAATATAGTTAACAATAATAAAAATTCGTTTGTTTCATCTTTTAATGGTGTGTTTTAACTAATCCATAGAGAATAAAAAAAAAACAAAAATAGTATGATTAAAAATTCGTTAGGAGTTCTTCATATTTTATTAATAGATAGTAATGTATTAAACCTGTGTTGATGGTATACAACCTGTTAAGCATGCAGGAGTATTATGGTGTGTATATGTACAAGTAAGTCTTTATGTAATTTTTGATGTTTAGTCAGTAAATAACAATAAATGTTACTCAGTTTGTCTATATCAGCCTTTTTATTTATACAAGACGTATTGGATTTTATTAAACACATTTCCAAGGATATTTTTCCTTGCCAAACTACAGGAACCCTCGAATTTAAATACATGTTTTAAACTTAATGCATGTTCTGTCAACGCGCATGCGTTAATTTTTTTGGTTTCTATTTTGCTGCGATGAGAGATCACCCTACTGTGAAAATTACGAGATGTTTCACCAATGTATACATTTTTGTAATTAGCACACGCTAGTAAGTACACTGACATTTTGTGATATATTGTAAATATTTACACATTTTTCTAATTACAGTATCTTGAAAAAGGAATTAAACAATTCCGAAAGCTAGACCAAAAGTCAAAAGAGTGTTTCTGTAACATCCCGGCCAAACTTCTGACTGCAGCCCTAATAAACTTTGTTGTTTGTTTAAATCGACAGTCACTAATATCCAGTATTCATTGTATATATATATATATATATATATATATATATATACATTCTTAGAAAGGGCTTTAGTGACTATGTGAGTAATATAATGGATATCTCGGGTTTAGTAGTCAATATATTGGCCTTTAAGTAAAACTCTTTTAGGTTTGTTAAGCTTTCGAGTTTATTTTGCTCTTTTTCAAAACTTACTAAAAATTAACATAAAAAATTACATTAAAAAATGAAGTTATTATATCTTCAATAGGCTTTCCCTTGTGAGGATTGTGTTTTAAAATTAGCAAAATTAATTAACATAATGACATTAAAAATTTGATTTACTTTTTCGTTCTGTCAAAACTTATTACTAAGGTTTCCATCACATGTCTCTTCTATTTTTTATATTTATTTTAGGTGAGTTTGACAGAGGAAATGTCTATGTTTATAAAACATTAAACAAAAGAGAAGACATTGAAAATCTTAGTGCTATATACAGTAATCTTCTTTTAAATAAAAGAATAACAATATAAAAGTTCTTAAAAGTTACGCATATTAAAGGGATTATTCCAAGTTCAAATAAGATAAATTTTTTTTTATTCATGTTTTTTCTTTCTTAATTACTTAACAGTAACATAAACTCGTTTAATAACTGTAATATTATATCAAAATTTGCAATGAAGGTTTGCATAAACATAGACATTTCCTCTGTCAAACTCACCTAAAATAAATATAAAAAATAGAGAGACATGTGATGGAAACCTTAGTAATAAGTTTTGACAGAACGAAAAAGTAAATCAAATTTTTAATGTCATTATGTTAATTAATTTTGCTAATTTTAAAACACAATCCTCACAAGGGAAAGCCTATTGAAGATATAATAACTTCATTTTTTAATGTAATTTTTTATGTTAATTTTTAGTAAGTTTTGAAAAAGAGCAAAATAAACTCGAAAGCTTAACAAACCTAAAATGGTTAATATTCTATTGTTAAGGTCTAACTCTGTATCACAATTCATAAACGCTAATGGTTGATCACAATCATAAACGCTGCGTGGTTGATGCGTCATGTTAGGAAAAAAAGAAATGTTTGACTTATTAAATGTTTCGATTAAATTCTTATAAACTGGATGATGAATTAGTCATAGTACTTAAAAAGAAATTATAAGATCGTTTTAATCTATTCTAATCTAAACAATTAATTTGAAGAGATTTTAACTCATCTTATCACAGGAAATAACCGAATTAAGAGTTTACCTTGTTATATTAAAATTTATTAATTAGGTATATACTTCTGAAATATTATTATAATGTTGTCGTTCGAGTGTAGGAACTCTTAGATAACATTTTTAGATTTATAAAAACAGTTAACCTTAAAAGATACCTTGAAAATTGTATTAATTTTAATTACTTTTATAATATACCTCACGATAATTGTTGTTTTATAGGTATGTAGGAATAATCCTTGCGTATATTGATTATACGAGACTTTCATCAACAAAAATAAAGCAAAAGATCTTAATTACGTACTTACAGATTTAACAGTCCCACTGTATAACAACGCAAATAACGAAAATAAAACCAAATGTATGCCAACCAGTTTCTTCAAAACATATATTTTCAAAGTGTCAAGGCGGTCAAAGACGGTGTCTCCTTGATTAGATTAGAAATTATAATTTTGGCGGCTGAAAATCGGTTTCTAACAAAGAATAATAATTACAAGACATTTATTTGATAAAAGTTGCTTACATCTATCTATTGTCCGTCGGCAAATTCAAACAAATATTATCTTTAGTGTGGACAGATATTAATATATCTGTATATAACTGTGAACAGTGTAAAAAAAAAATTTTTACCACCAAAAATGAGTTGTGTTAATTAAACAGTGTTTTAAAAATAATGTGCACAATAATTTTGTATTCGGTTCCGCTAATGAACCGGTTTTTTTATCTTTAAAAGTAGTATCAAAGTTTAATTTCTGTTGCTTAATATTATCGCCCAATAATTTTAACTGTACTAATATTAAACTAGCAGGAACGTTTCCGAATAAGATTGGTTTAGGGATGGAAAATTAACAGGGTGGTTAAAGTATAGTAAAAACTTAACACTTAACTAACTGCTAGCTTGAACTATAAGCCAGCAGATTCGCTGGCAATTTGGCGTTGAAAAATATTGGTGTGTGAAAATGGTGAAAATTGCCTCAACAAAAGTTATTATGAACGCCGTGTGGTAATTGAAATGTAGTGGAAAAAAAATGAGTAAAAAAATATTACATAGGTTAAACTGGATTCCGCTATGTGTCCCCGCTAGCTTAAGGGTCCTTAAACGAGTGGCTATTGTGGAAAGTAAGAGGATAGTACATTGTCATTTAAATTATTTAGAAAAAATTCAAGAATATCAAGACCAAAAACGACAAATAATTATTTAGACACGAGTATGATAGGAACGATACCGCAAGCAAGGGCTGGACTGATGGTTCGTTTATGTGCTAGGTGAAACACGTACTCTCGAATAAAGGTTTTCGAATATTTAGTATATATACAAATATATATTTGTAAAATCAGTTGTAGGCTTTATACCAATATCGGAAAGAATTATGATAATACAAATGATGACAACACATCGGAAATAAAACAGAAGAAGATATTGAAAAATTTTACAATGACCTTTAAAAACCACTACAAAATATAACATCTAAAGAAGATATAACAGTAGCCATGTGTGATTTTAACGCCAAAGTTGGAGAAGGAGGATGTGAGTCTACTGTAGGACCATATGGACTCGGTGTTCAAAATTAAAGAGGAGAACGCCTTATAGAATGCTGCCTAGTACATAATCTTGCGGTGATGAATAATTTCTTCACACTTCCTAAACGACGCCTTTACACTTGGAAATCGCCAGCTGACAAGGTCGATAAAATCGTTAGAACCTTAATTGACTATATTTTAATAAACCACTGATACCGAAACGCAATACTGTCGGTGAAAGCATATCCAGGTGCAAACGTGGCGTCGGACCACAATCCTCTTGTAGCAAAATTCCAGCTTCACTTAATAACGATACAAAAAAGCTACAAACAGTGATAAACTAAACATACAAAAATTAAAACCAGAATACGTCAAAGAAAAACTAAGAAAAGAAATAAATGCAAACCTAGAATCCACACCGGAATCAACTGATGGTTATATAAAACAACAGTGGCAAATCTTTAAAAATACAGTTATCGGACCAAGTCGCAGAGAACTCACAACAACCAGATGCAAGAAAGGAGATTGGACGACAGAAGAAACCTTGGAAAAGATGGAGAACAGAAGAAGGTAAAAGAATATCAATATAACTTGGTATCAACTGCTGCATAATCAAATAAGAAGGAAAATAAGAGAAACTAAAGAGACTTATTTCGCTGGAAAATGCCAAGAAATAGAAGACTTACAAAACAAATATGATGACTTCAATATCCATAAGAAAGTTTAAGAATTTACTGGTGTAGCAAAACAAAAAACCTCAAGCATACTATTGGACAAACAAGGAAACATTTTAGTGGAGACAGAACAAAAATTAGGAAGATAGAAAAAATATATAGAGGAATTATTCCATGACCACAGATAGGAAAATTTATATATGAAGATAATCAGAGTAAAGACGAGGGACCCGAAATAACAAATTCAGAAGTTATGCATGCAGTAAAGTCCATTAAAAATAATAAAGCCGCTGGTCTAAATAAAATACCAAGTGAACTGCTAAAACTGTCATTTTTCGGACCGGCCTTTATGAAATATTGGCACAAGAAACTGTAGATTGTCTTCTGTATGAAAGAATAATTTCAGGTACTTACATATTAGAGTGCACTAAGACTAAATTTAATATAGTTAACTACTTAATAAAATAAATTAACTTGATATCTACTTTTATTTGAGAAACGTGAGATAAACTATTTAAGTGCTTCTATTTGAGAAGACAAAGACTAAGTGCCTTGAGGTTAGTTGGGTTTGAATAGTTTAAATCTGAAAAACTGACAGGCGCAGAAATACAATACAGCAGAAAGAAGGCATGTCATGTTAATCGTATGTGTTTAAATTAGTGAGATATATTAGTGATAATAATTTAATTATTATCTTTTATTTATTAAACCAACTATTGTAGAAAAGATAATTAATTTTCTACAATAAGAAACAGTTACTTGAAGTGCTTCGCACATCTACTTGCAGTTTGAGGTTACCACCTTATTTTTGCATTTTTAATTCCGTAGACTTATTGAGGACAAAAAAAAATAGAATTTGGAGGAAAAATGTTTTTTTTTATTTGGCGAGAAAACTAAAGATCATATTATCAAAAGAAAAAAGCTCATCTGAGGTTTAAATTATCTAAATCAAACGAGGACTACGTATTGTTTTCTAATCTGCGTGATCAATGTAAAGTTAAACATACACTTTGTCAGAAACAACATTTTTCGTCTCTGAAAAAAATTTAGTAATAAACCCAGGAATTTTGGGGATACATTGGCAGACTTCGTAAATCTTCGAGTTACCCCAAGAAATGTATCTCGGTAACAGAAGGGCACAGGGCACTATCAAAATTGCTAACCTTTTTGCTCTGGTGTATATGAGAAAGATAAAGGTGCTCCCATTCCAGATTTTGAAAGACTGTGTCAGACACATTGACCTGTAAACCTTATTCAAGTTGACACTATATCAGTGTTTGATGAATTAAGAAAACTTCCAAACAAATTCTCCTCAGGGCCTGATGGAATCCCACCGGTATTATTAAAGCACTGTCTATGTTCTCTTACTATTCCCCTAAATGGAATTCCCTGTATAATTTATCTCTTACGACTGGTGAGTTCTCTCCTTGCTGGAAGAACAGTTATATTGTACCCTTTTTTAAGTCAGGTAAAAGAGAGGATATTGAAAAATACCGAGGAATTTGTATACAGTCAGCAATCCAAAACTTCTCGACAAACTAGTGACTTCGCACTTATCAAAACTAACGGATAATAGAATAATACCCTAACAGCATGGCTTTCAAAGGGGCAGGAGCACACTGTCAAACTTGTTGGTCTACCAAGATGATATATTGGCTGCATTTGAGAGGAAGTACCAGGTGGACAGCATCTATACTGACTTCTCCAAGGCATTCGATAAAGTAAATCATCGTTATTTAATCAGTAAATTAGGAGCCATTGGTATAGCTGGCAAATGGGTTGATTGGTATGATAGTTTTCTTGTGGGTAACACCCAGAGCAATAAGATAATTATCGTCTCGGGTTGGGTGTAGTGAGTGGGTCCTCTAATGCTGTTGGACGTCCTCTCTGGAGTACCACAGGTGTCACGTTGTGGTCCTCTACTTTTTGTCCTCTTTGTTAATGACGTTGAAAAAGTCATTAAGAATTCAAAATTTCTGAACTTTGCTGATGATAAAAAAATTTATAAAGTCATTACTTGTCAGTATGATCAAATTCAGTTACAGAGGATCTCAGCAGATTAAGCGATTGTTGCAAACTAAATGAATTAAAATTGAACATTGATAAGTGTTGTGTTATTACTTTTCACAGAAAGCAAACATTTTAAATTATGATTATAGCATTGATAACACTCAGCTGTCAAGGCAGGACTGTCTTAAGGATTAAGGTGTTTATTTTTATTGTAAATTAACATTTCGTAATCATCTAGAGGTCACAATAAACAGTGCATTTAAACAATTAGGGTTTATAACCAGAAACACTTCTCAATTTTCATGTTTTGTTTTAACAAATTCTTTTTAATAGTCTCATTCGCTCCAGACTAGAATATGCAATAGTTTGTATGGGGACCTTACTATCAAACCTCTATAGACAAGCTTGATCGTATTCAGCATAAATTTGGTAAACACTATCATTACCGTAGTGCTTTTCATGACCTTTCTGTTCCATACAGTTATAGTATGATAGCTGATCACTTAAAAATGGTTTCTATGAATCGGCGAAAAGATTATTTTTGCCTAATATTCCTTTACAAAATTGTTAATAATTTGAAAAATTGCCCTGAACTTTTAAATCGATTAGGTCTTAACACTCTTCATGGAACTAGACATACTTCATTATTTCATCTGCCATTTCATCAATTTAATTATGAATACTTCAAGCCTCTTACTCATATGGTGAGAATATATAATAGGTACCAAAGTGATCTGGACTTATTTTTCCAGTCCTAAGAACAATTTAAAAATGTGATAAAGAGACTGCTATTTGTGTAATATTAGTTTGTATTCGTTATAAGTAATTATTAGTTTTTGTTAAACTTTACTAATTATTTTCCAATGTTGTGCTTACTTTGTAAAAATTTTATATATTATATGTTGTTCCAATGTAAAAATGGTATATCCGTTAAAAAATAAATAATAAATAAAAAATGATTGACTTGAGTTGCTATGAACTATCAGAGATCACAATTGTTGACTTCAAAAGTAAGCAGCAGACGCTGTAGTTAATGTAGAAAATAAATACAAAAGACAGCGAAACTTCAAATATTGGACAATTTATTATTGATCTGTTGAATAATGATGATGATAAGAGCTCGTATGTAGAAGAAATATTTTAGACAAGGCACGCTAATGTAGTGACTATGTATTTCAG